GAAATAGTGCAGCCAGCAGGAGTAGGGAGGGGATCATCCCTTTTTACTGAGCACTGGTGAGGCTGCACCTTGAGTATGGTATTCATTTTGGGCTCCTCACTACAAGAAACACATTGAGGCTCTGGAGTGTGTCCAAAGAAGGGCAACAAAGCTGGTGAAGAGTATGGAGCACAAGTCTTATGAGGAGTAGCTGAGAGAGATGCAATTGTTTAGTCTGGAGAAGAGGCAGCTCAGGGGAAATGTTACTCTCTCTACAACTACATGAGATTGTAATGAGGTATATGTTGACCCTTTTTCACAGGTAACTAGAGATAGGATGAGAGGTAATGAACTTAAGTTGCGCCTGGGGAGGCTTGAATTGGATATTAGCAAAACATTATTCTCAGAACATGGTGAGGTAGTGAAACAGGTTGCCCAGGAAAGTGATGGAGTCACCAATCAAGGCGGTTTGTAAAAAAATGGCAGATATCACACTCAGTAACATACATGGTCTAGAGCAATCATAGGCATGGGTTGATGGTTGAAGTAGTTGATCATAGTGGTCTTTCCAACCATAATGATTCTATGTTTATCTCAGATTTACTGTCTGTGATTAGTGCATAAAGAGCAGGTAGTTACAGTGATGCCTTTTGTCTTCAGTCTGTAAAATATTTCTATTATATTATGAAATTGGAAAGGAAAATTGTTCAGGTTTGGGGTTTTTTAATTACCAGAATGAGGTTTAAAATTCAGTTACTTAGCAGGGAAATAAGAAGTTTCAAAAAATCTTCCCCAGTTGGAAATTTATAAATATGATTTAAATTATTGAGGGTGTGACCACATAAACTATCAGACCTAACTGTTCATAGCAATACTATTTTTGCTTTAATGTGAATTCCTCAACTGTTTCTATCTGCATTGTGGATGGTTTCTCTATGTGCTTTTGGTGTGTGCAAACTAGATTCCTTTCAGCTATAATTAAACTGGAAGCTTGCTCTTAAAATTAATGTTCTGACCCCATGTGTGAACCACATCATCATGTGGTTAACTGAGGGTTGACTAATACATGGGCACCATCCAAAGATGCTAGAAACTGCACAAACTCATAGAACTCCCTGACGTGATCCACTTGCTATATAAAGAACCAGACGCATATGTGTCCTCCAGTGCGTCCTTAGCTGTCAATCTTCTACTACTAAATTGTGATCAGTCTGTTGCTAAAACTTCCTTCTCTATTTACTTTTGTCAGTTTAATGTTCTTTCTCTGCTTTACCTGCCCTATATTTTGTTGTATATTTTTTCTTTTTTTTCCCCTTTTTCCTCCATTCTCTTAAAATCTTTCAAAAATATTCTTATTATTTTGATTTCTTTCTTCTATCTAAATAAAGAGTGCAGTGAGGTCCTGGGGCTTGAGCATGGCTGTGTTCTTGAACGTGTGCTGGAAGAAGACCAGAGGTTTTTGGGAACAGTGTTAAATGGTAGCAGCCTCAGAACACTGAAAGCATCCCATTTACTGGCAGGTGTAAGAATGATAAATGCCAGATAAAGGGTTGTTGTTTTATTCATTTGTTTGTTTTAAAGAAAAGAAAAGAAAACAATGCTTTTCTAAAGACAAACAGATACAAATCATTGTAATTCAAGACAGCACTGCATATCTTTAATGAAAAGATGCAGAAAATCTTTGGGAGCCCTACGATAAACCTGAAGTTATTTGAAATTTTTTTTATCACTTTCTTGATTGATGTAGAAACACCCTCACAAAGGACATTCCCTTCAGAGTTGTTTCAGCTGGCTCCTGCAAAAGATCTATGTGCAGGGCTCCCCTTTTCCTTCCTCTTCTCCACTGCAAGATCAATACATTCTGTCTTTCTAACCCTGATGGCACTCCTGATCTGGCCAAGGTTAGCCTCCTGCTTTTCTATATTTTCCTCTAAGCTGAGCACAGGAAAAGGGAGAGGATGCATATAGTTCTGGGGGAATAATGGCATTGATCTCCAAACAGTGAGAATGCAATGTACATTACCAGTCTGAATGCAAGAACTGCTGTACCTTTTAAATATTCTCCTGGGACTTTGAGCTGTGGGAGAAAACTTCCAAATAGTGACTGCCTACATCAAGATCTGCCCACCTGCTCCCTGCCTTATCTGTGGTCTTACTCATAGCCCAAGTAAGTTACTTGTGCCACTCAGGGAAGTGCAGTGCAGGTTTTCAAAATAGGCACACTGCATTGTCTGCTCCCCTCCGTAAAGACAGCAGCTTACAGGGAGGTGTATATGTTAATTCCCATATCCCCAAGATGACTGTAGGAGATTTTATTTTGAAAAAGGTACTAAGGTAGCAACAACTGTCTGCACAGAGATTTTCTTAGCTGTTCACCTCAACACTCCAGCAAGTGTGAAAATTGGACTGTGTTCATCATTGCATAATGGCAGTGGTAGTGCATACTTTACCATTCAGACCACAATTTTCATCTGCATATAAAGGACATTGGATGTAAGGGCTTATCTATGAAAATCCACTGGGGCAGCAAACGTTCCATGGTATGTGATGGGCCACCTTTTGGTAGAAAAAAACAGAGTTATGATCTGAGTTACAGTCCTTGATCTACATTTGAAGAATAAGCATGCAGAGACCTTAGTCTCTGAACACATGGTACATACTGAAAAAGTACGATCTAACAGAAAAGGGCAAATGGCATCGGATGTTTTAGTTTTCTCCTTGTGCATTGTCAACTTGACCATCTCAAAGTGGTTAGTCCAAGTGGGACCAGAGAGAAGGCACTTCAGATGGTGATGACACTCTAGGTGTGAAAAGTGCTCCCTACAGCACTGCACAGGGATCATGCAGGCAAAGTGCTGCTGGTAGTACCACTTCTCAAAATTTGTGTGGACAGTGGGCAAAGCAGTTACATCAGGAAGAACTCCCAGAAACTTCTGTTTTTCTGCAGGCAAGTTGAAGTTTATTCTGCTGGTGAAGCTGCAGAATTCAGTATCCACCTCTGTGGTACCTCCCATTACACACTATCTGTATTCAAAAGAGTGGCATGTAACCTGAAGATCAGTTTGTAGTGGTGCAAATGTTTTTAAACATATAGTTGTTTATGATGATGGAGGCACTGATATGTTAATGTCATCTCTGTATGAAAAGACGTGCTTCCTAATGGAATCTATAGTTTAAAAGAGGCAAAGACTTCTGGAGTAGAAAATTTTGAACTTCATGAGTAATGAAGTAATTCAGCATTGAATCAGGTAATCCCAAGTAAACTTACCTGGAGATGTGAAGAGCTTCAGCACCTATCCTTTTAAAATAATATCTGCTTCTCTTGCACCTAATTAATTGCTAACGTGAAAAGTGAATAATAGCCACAAATAACTTTCACCTTGCCACCATTCCAGACAGAGGATCAAGATTGATCAGCAGTGAAGATATTGCTTAGGAAAGCTGTGCGGTAGTAGTCGATAATTCATGCTGAAATACCAATGTTTGGTGCTAATTTTGCTAGTTATCACATCTGCTGAAGAAATGAAAATGCTGTTAAATTTTACATGAGCATTTTGAATGTGGTTGGGACCAAAAAAGCTGTTATTTCACCAGTAAATCATGGCAATGTTAGCACAAGAATTGCTTTTGGTTTAGTGATGGTGGGAAAAGTAGGAAGAGTTACAGTTGCCTTTAATGAACTAAATAGTGTCTTAGCCCTTTTATTTCCTGTGTATGGGAGGTTTTTATGTTACATTCCGTAACTACTTTTCATGGATTTCACTGTCAAAAATTCCATTTTCTTACTTTAAAAAGCAGGCCAGATTTAAGAATATGTAGAACAATTCAGTCATAGTACTGAGAGTGTAAAATTGTGATGCTCTTATATGATGGCACATCTAACAAAGGAAGTGCATCAACAACATGCATTTTAGACAAAGTTGAGGTCTATAAGGTCCACAGCAAACACTTAAGTAAAAGGTTTTAACTTCCACTAGATGGATGAGAAGCACCTCTGTCCCACTTTCTGAGACAAAAAGGCTTTCAAATAATAATTTTCAAAAAATAATTTTCAGAAATTAATGCTCAACTATGTGAAAATTGTCTGCTGTACTTAGTCATACTAGAAAAACAACTTCTGATTCTTTGGGTGCCTTTCTGTTTATCCAGTAGATACCATCTATTGCTAACACAATCTTTTATCTGATGATTTATTTTTTTTTAAATCTGAGCTTTGAAAGCCATTTTGGGGATTTTTTTTTTTTCCCCCATCTACTGAGTGCATCTTCATAGCATAAACTCCTCACTGTATACAAACTGAAGTTTTGATAATCGATGAATGGGACACAGTGATACTATTTGCATGGATTTGAACAGTTTTTAGGAAACAAACAACAGTGATTCTCTCCCTACTAACTCAATTTGCACAAGATATCATGCAGATGATAATTAGCAGAAGGTTTCTAGTTCTTGACCTCTTGCTGAACAAGCTCAATAGAGAATATTTTTCCCCGAGGGTGGGAATAACTAGATAGAAAAAATAGATTAACCTAGCATTGTTAAGGCATCATGATACTGGATCAATGGTTAGCCTGAGCTGTACTGTAGAAATGCCTAGAGCAGGACAAAATCCAGCAATTACTAACAGCCATTGGCATCAATACCAACAATTCAGCAATGGCATTAAGTAAGAGAAGGAGACTGCAATTGCAGAAGAAGTCTTTTCTGTCATTTTAAAAGAGCATTTTTTTTTTTTGTAAAGCTATTAATAATTTAAAATACTGTGTTATCCTCCATCTCCTTCCAGTCCCTCTTCCCTCGCTTTAGGAAACACATTCAATATCTTTGTTGTGGGGAATTACTCGCGGTATTTAATCGCTGTGTATTGACCGTCTGATTAATATTGAAAGTACAAAGTTGAGATGAGGGGACAATGATATAGTCTATAACTGTGTCCATGTGACAGAATTAATTCCTCTTATGAAATCTCCTCTTTTTTTTTTCCTACTGAAAACCTTTTTCTTGATTTGTATTTTTTAAAGAGATGATGTGCGAAGTGATGCCTACGATAAATGAGGACACCCCGATGAGTCAACGGGGGTCCCAGAGCAGTGGCTCGGACTCGGATTCTCACTTTGAGCAGCTGATGGTGAATATGCTGGATGAAAGGGACCGTCTCCTTGATACTCTCCGGGAGACACAGGAAAGCTTGTCGCTTGCACAGCAACGCCTACAGGATGTCATATATGACAGAGACTCCCTTCAGCGACAGCTTAACTCTGCACTGCCTCAGGTATGTAGCTTATAAAGATCTTTTCAGGTTCACCAGTTTTCTGGTTAATGTCACTGACTTTAACCCTAATCAGTATATATTCCTTGTGGTCAAATTCTGCTCTCATTGAGGTTGGCTGCAGAATTCCTATGGATGTAACAGTACTTAGCTTGTTCTCCATGAGACCTGTTTTCTCTTCAAAGTTATGAACAGGAGTAATGCTGTTAGCTTCAAGGAGAGCAGGATGAAGGCCCAGAGCTACTGATTCTTTTGGCTGTTGCTCTAGCATTTACAACACATTAGGAGTTATTTAAACTCAAGATCTAATGGGGGAATAAAGAAAAGAGAATGAGGAACTTTTCTACGAACTCTATCTCAGATAAGAACTTCTAACTAGCATTAGAGCAAATAAAACTAGTGTACAAAGGTTAAATAAGGTATTGCACAAAACCCGAAAACCAAATATTATCTTTTATTCCCTTTAAAAATAGTTGTAGGAGTACCATTTTCTAAAATAACTTTCTATCCTTTTTTTTTTAGGAACTGAAAATGCATTATTTCAGTTACTACATTAATATTATATTTCAGCATTTTATTCCAGAATAAAATTAGCTTTCAATATATTAGAATTAAATGTAAAAATACATCTTAGTTCAGCCAGTATATCTATCCTGAGGTTGGAAATATGCCACATGTCAAAAAGCATTTTTCTCAATATTAATTTCTTTGCATTGTCCATCTATCACTTGCTAGAGGATCTACTTGTAACCAGGAGAGCCCAGGCATCATACTTGTCTGGGGAGAGTTGTGTACCTGTTATAAAAGGGCAAGAGAGAAAGGAAGAGAGAGGAAGCTTTATGATTAGAAGAAGGAGGTGGTGAGGATTAATCAAATCAGTAAGAAAATCATTAAAGACAGAAAAGGAAAAAGGCATTCTCTGGGTCTGGAAACAGAAACAGCTGCTTAAGAATATTGAAAATATTGGGATGGGCTTAAAAAGAGAGGTTGTAATTATTTCAAGTTCTGGTTTTGCACCCCAAGCATTATTCTCAAGCAAGAAGTATTGGCTGCACTTCACTTAGGTCAAACAAAAATGAGCAGCAATGATCCTGATATACAGGAAAATCAGTTTGGTTTTGGTTTTGTTTTTTTCTAATTTGTAGGCAGTAGACCTTTTCTACAGATGTCTCTTCATAGAAAAATGTTAAAAAAAAAAAAAAAAAAAAAAAAAAAAGCAGAGATTCTTTATTCCAAGAGTTCTTGCTACAAGTCTAAAGAAGAGGTTCTGTATTTGTGAATCCTCCCATTCTGTGCATTGCATAGCACGCAGGCACTCATCGCTGAGCCTATAATGAGCTTTCTCATCGAGGACAAGCAGGTGTCTGATCATTAATGTTTCTGTGTTCACTCAATTTAGAAGAATACACAAGTACTGAGGACTATTTAGTTACAATCTGACATCAAATGAGTCTTGCTTTATCTGAACATGTTCCTTTTAGCTTTTGATTTCTTAAGTCATTTTCCAAACATGATTATTTACATAGTACTTTGCATCTAAAAGGTATTTATATATATATATCGACAAAGTTACACTCCAATACTTTTTTGGTTAGGGTACTGATTTTGTTTATCAAGAAGTAGTTGATAATATTATCTATAAAAATCATTGAATATTCATAAATAGAATCTGAAAAAAAGGAACCCATACAAAGATGGAAGTATAAACAAACAACTGAAAAATTCTGTCTGATTGGAAATAATTAATGATATTAAGTATGAAAGTTGGTGTATTAGTTTGTGCTGTTAGAGCTTCAGCTGTTAAAGCAGTAGCCACAATGCAAAATACCAGTTTAAATGGCTCTAGGTTTGTATACTGTTCTGTACTGCAACAGAGCAATGTATAGTTAGCTGTTACTTTCAAATGTGAATCAGAAAAATATAGTTGCTATGTTATATTTTTCTATAATTGAAATAATTTTTATTTCTATTATATTAGCTGTCATAATCTTATGAACTGCTATACTTAAGGAAGGAGGGAAAAATGAGCAGGCAATTACAAAACCATTAGAGTAAACATAATAACAGAAAAGTCTTGAAATCTTATTTTGGAGGAAAAACTAATAATTTGAATAGCTAACTTAAAAGTATTACAAGGGTTTACCAAGATTATCTTTACAGAGAATAACTTGACATCACTTTTTGATATGGGATTTAATAATGTGTGAGTATGGAACTATGAAATCTGTACAATCACATAAGAATTGGAGTTGGAAGGCACCTTAAAGATCATACGGTTCCAAACCTTCTGCTACAGGTAGGGGCACTTCCCACTAGATCAGGTTGCCTGTGGCCCCATCCAACCTGGCCTTGAGCACTTCCAGGGATGGGGCATTTACAGCTCTGGGAAATCTGTTCCAGTGCCCCAAAAATAAAGAATCTCTCCAGTGTGTTGACTGCACCACACAGTTTGGTGTAATTTGCAGACTTGACTGTGGGGTGCTCACTGTCTAATCAACAACAAACTAGCTATCCCTGTAGTAGCTATCTTCTGAAATGGCCACACTTCAATTACTACAGTTAAGATATAAGATGAAAAGAGTGAGAGGAAAAAAATATCACTTAGGGTAGACATTGACATGATGGAAAGAGGCTAGTAGAAGTAGCTCATTGAGAATGTGTTTTGGGATCAATTTTTGTTAATTGAGCACAAGTAGGAGTATGGTAGTAGCAGTTAAAAAATTATGCTCTGTCTGGCCTTTTAGTTAACAGTAGTAAAGAGGGAAGATACATGTTATGATAGTAGGCAACCAGTGGGAAGTAAATTTAAATAAGACAAGTATAATTTGGAAGTGTATTAGGTAAAATATTTCACACTGTAAAAGAAAAGTATTAATGCAATTGAACCGAGGGCTGGTTTGAAACTTACTGTCTTAGTATTGGCTCCGTAGTGACTGCGAGGTCATCTCAGGTTAGAAGGGATTCAGGAAAAGACTGGTAGAGCAAAGAGGCAAAAGCTTCTGCATGAAAAGACTAATTGAAGTTTTCTTTTTTTTCTGGGGAGAACTAAGTTGAGAGGGAATATGACTGATTATGTGAATTTTGTTGGAGAGACGTTAAGATGGAAAGACTAGGTAAAATGAGTGAAATGTTTTAAGCTAAAAATAATGTTGATGGAGGAATAGATTAATATAAGCTGCCATGAGTATGGATACATCACTCATCAGAAAATGATCTTGAATTATCTAGAAATGACATTCAGAATCCATCTTTCTCAGGCAAAGAAAGGAAGGACCAACTCAAACTGTTTCCAAGAGGAAGCTGCTGTTAAAGGCGTTATATAAAGCAGTACCTTTGGTTAACTTTGAACATTACCGAGAATACCTCTTCCTGTTGCTTTTTTTTTCAAACTTCACAGTGGAGAGATTATGTGAGATAAGTCAGAGTTGTAAAATGAAACGTGAGTCTGAATAGACTTACCAAAACTATTAGAGTTACATGGTTGTACAATTGAGTTGAGAAGTTTTGTGCGCGTATTTGGAATCTGCTTCACAAACAGTGTTACTTACTCTTTGCAAGGCTTTCTTTCTGTTGTCAACTGAAGACTCTAAGGGAAGTATAGATGAGTCTGCATTGCATGTTACCCTACAACAAGAATTTATTGTAATTTAGATCATGACTTGAGTTCAGCAAAAAAAAAAGTAAAATTAAAATAATGAAATACAGTATAACTCTAATGGGGAAGCATATGATCTAAATATTTAACATTATGCTATTATTTTATTGAAGTAAAAATAGTTATTTTCCTGTATTATAAACGAATGCTATATTAAATTGAAAATATACTAAATGTAGTTAGAAACTGTAAGTTCTGTTCTGAGTGGTGGAAAGAGGAAAATGTTCAGCTACTTTCTCAAGCAAATTTCACCATAATCTTATCTAAACTAAATCCTCTGGAAAATTTCACCAGTATTAGTTGGCCTGTAACCAAACACAGAAAAAATATAACTTACTACATTGAAAGGCATAACAAAATGTAAGAGTTACAGTAATAACCAGTGTTGTGCTCTGATAAACAGTACTGTATTAGATTTGTTTCATAGCTCTTTTATTGTTTCTTTTACTTTTTGAAAATAAGTTTCATGGTATGGAAGATGCTGAGGTAATATTTGTATGAAGATATACGGAGGCCATCACTTTCTCAAGTCAAATGTATCCATTTTGTTCATTAATAATGCAATGGCTCAGCGATTTATTTAGAAATTAGCCTTATATTCAAAGAATCACAGAATCTCAGAGTGGTTAAGAATGGAAGGAGCCTCTGGAGGTCACCCTGTCTGACCCATCTGCTCTACATGGTCCTCAACCAGGCTCATGTCCAGCCTTCTGGTTATTCCCAAGAATGGAGACTGCACAGTATCTTTGAGCAACCTATGCCAGTATTTGTTCATCCTGTCAGGAAAAAATCGTTCCTGATGTTCAAATGGAACCTTCTGATTTTCAGTTTGTTTCCATTGCCTCTTCAGTATTTTGTTATCAGAGAAAGGGTTAGCACTGGAGCAGATCTGTGTCTGTGCAAGATGAACAGTTCTGAGACCACTCTAGAAGACTTTATGATACTGAAATAGATCTTGATGATTGTCAAAGTCATTCTCCTTCTTTTGCCCAGCACTGGGAATTTAGCTAGATCTCATTTGACTCATTATCAAAACGTTACTATAAACTTGTAACATCTTTTGAGTTAATTTCAGTTTGAATCTGAACTTATATCAAAATTATATTATTAATGATTCTGAGAAAGTTAATTCTAAACTAAATTTTTTAATGCAGTGGCTTGGTTTCATGCCAAATGTTTTTATAATTTTAATTGAATACAAAATAATTTTAAAGTTCTTTGATTAAAAATAAAATATTGAATCTAACATTTTAAACTTTAATATAAATATCAAATTTTCTGAAAGTTTTGTGCTTATTTTGTAAGATAAGCAATTTTATTTATAATTGTGGTAAAGCAAATACCAAGT